CATTACCTATATCATTGTTTCCCTTAATTTATTGCATTTGTCACGACATCTAACAAAATGTTGTTATAAGTGTTTCTCGAACGTTTTATGAGTTTAATTATTCTGATATCAGTGTGTGATCTTTCGTCGTTCAATGTTTGAGATCAGCTCAGGTTATCAAGTGATTTGTTCAAGTCTCGCGTTTTACCCTCGTCATTAACTTGTTTATGGTAACCGTGTTTTGTGAATTAGGAAGTTTGTAAGACAAACTAATGAATGTTTTCGCCTGTTGAGGTGTGCATTATAGCAAAGGTTGTAGCCTGAATAATGTCAAGTTCCCGAAGTCTTATGTGAAAAAGTTTTTACGGGCATTTCGGCTTGGGAGGGGCACCAAATGATCCTTAACAATGCTATTTTAGGCCATCTTGCAAAGACCTGTAAAATCCTGTCCTGTCCTAAAAAAGGGGGGGGGCTTTCATACCATTTCGCTGCTTCCCAGGAGTTTACAGGTTTCACCAAAGTGCGACCTATTAAGTTATTACAAGAACTAACGAGACGAACGAGTAAAGTGTGAAATGCCCCTCCCAAGCCGAATAGCTCCCTTTGTACCCATCGCCCCTCTACAGAGGGCGTAATGCATTAAAGGCAACTGGCACGATAATTTTCTTCCCTGCAGAAAACGGAGGCAGAGGCTCTCTGTAGTACTACAGTAAGGTGAAAACGGGACGGAACGGCCTAAAACGCCCGAAATAAAGCCTTTAATAACCGCTCCAGTTAGGAAATGTTCAAGCTGCGCCAGAAATCAATCATCGCTGCTCGAACAGCAATGTGAAAGGGATCACGGCGTCTGCACAGGAAATATGAAAGCAACTTATCTCAAGCAGTAGCAAACCCCACGACAATATAACCGGGATCTTTATCAAAAGCAGGGACATACTAGCCACATTTCAGCGAAGTGCTTGTCGAAGATTCGCCGGAATACAATTGAAAAAAGCCAGAGAAGTAAAACAAGTCTAAATCTCCAAAACGGTCACTGCTCGCAAAGAAGCTTTCATTCTGCCAATGATAAGATTGTTTTGGTTACCCATATCTTACCTCTTCAAAAGAACTCTGGAGAATTAAAAGAAAGCGCCATAGCATACTTTTTTGAAAACAGCTGATCTGACGCCATTTGGGGGGGGGTCGTTAAGGAGGAGTTCGAATTGTTGGTATGCTAAACCCTATTAGGATGCTTAGAGACCGCTTTTCGTTGGAAAAGACATCAGGCTTGTGGGACTTTCTCAGGGGCACGGAATTCTTTGGTGATGGGCGTCTTCATCTTTCATGCCCAGAGGACTTATCGTGCCCTTTGCCTTTAACTAAAGTGCAATGCCGATGACTTCAACCATCATAGTTTCAGTTACCCAGGTTTAATCACTCAAGTTTGAGGTTGTGGTGGATCAGTCGCGAATGTGCAACATTTAGTACCTTTCAACTGGAAACATGGACATTGGTAGAGATATGAAATTGGAATTCGGTGGAATGGGCGACTCGGTTGGACCAGCTGTTCAAAATCAGAACAGCTCACTTTACAACGAATTAATGGCATCTTCTGGATTACTCACACTGGGAGGTCGAATTCGAAGGGTGTCGGCCGGTGATTTGGAATTATTAGCTGAATTGGGTCACGGAAGCTGTGGACATGTATCGAAAATGCGATATGATGCCAATATCATTGCCGTAAAAACTATGCCAAGAAGCAGCAATCCGGTTGAAAGCAAGCGAATCATCATGGATCTTCGAATATTATCGCGTGCATATGATTGTCCTCATATTGTTCACTCATATGGATATATAATTACCGAGAACGAGGTTATGATATGCATGGAAGCTATGGCTTCTTGCCTGGACTTGTTATTGAAGCGAACGGGCAATGAACCGATACCGGAGCCTATAGTTGGAAAAATGTCCGTGAGTGTCGTGAAAGCACTCGACTATCTCAAAGAAAATCATAACGTGATTCATCGTGATGTCAAAGCCGTCAAACATTTTGCTAGACTGGAATGGCGTGATTAAACTATGCGATTTTGGGATTAGCGGATTCCTAATCGAAAGCCGTGCGAAGTCAAAACTTGCTGGTTGTCCACCATACATGGCCCCGGAGAGGGTACGCTCCACGGAAAACACACCGTACGATATCCGAAGTGATGTGTGGTCTCTGGGAATAACTCTCGTTGAACTTGCTACTGGCCACTATCCGTACGAGGGTAGTGATTTCCAGATTATTTCCTCAATTCTCGAGCTTCCAAGTCCTTCGCTCAAAGTTTCGGATGGATTTACGGAAGAATTCTGCGGATTGGTTGACCTATGCTTGAGGAGAGATGTCGAAGACCGACCTCGATACGATACCATCCTTCGGCATCCCTTCATTGTAAGGAACGATCTCGCAGATACAGACGTTTCAGAATGGTTCGGGAACATCATGTCCTGAACTCGTGAAGACATCTGTACTTTTGAACTATTTAGGAATTGGCACTTTCATCACCAACCTGGTGATTGTAAAGTTGTAGTTTCCATGTATGTATCGTTCTTTTCGAAATCTAGCGGCAGAATCTGTCAGTCTGTTTTCATAGGCGTTGACCTCTATTGTAGTCACCATTCTGTTTTACTGGTTTCGGGAGGCACAATGAAGCATGAATTTTCTATTCCTTCTTGTGAGGTTATTATATGTGCATCTTTTTAGTATGGTATTCAAATGATTCCAATGCCTCAAAATTTGCCTTCACAGCACCTATATCATTATGTTTCCCGTAATTTATTGCAGTTGTCACGACATCTAAGTAAATGTTGTCATAACTGTTTCTCGAATGTTTTATGAGTCTAATTGTTCTGGTATCAGTAAGTGACCTTCTGTCTTCAATGTCTGAGATCAGCTCAGGTTACCAAGTGATTTTTCAAGTCCCGCCTTTACCTTCATCATTAACTCGTCTGTGGTAACCGTGTTATGAATTAGGATGTTTGTAAAATAAAAAAAAATTGAACGTTTTTGCCTGTTGAGGTCTGCAAAGGTTGTAGCCTGAATATTACTAAGTTTCCGAATTTTTATGTGAGGCAGTTATTACAGCGTAGTCTGGCTTGGGGGGGGGGGCATCAAATGATGCATGGCGAAGCTAGTTCAGACCATCTTGTGAAGACTTCGCTGCTTCACAGAAGTTTACAAGTCTAACAAAGTGTGACCTATTAAGTAACATGATCTAACAAGACGATCAAGCAAAAGTGCAAAATGTCCCTCCCAAGCCGAACCGCTCTATTTGTACTCATCGCCAACTCAACTTTACAGAGAGGGTAATGCATTAACTAAAGCACTGTGCCGATGTCTTCAATCCAAGCTTATAGTCTATACCAGAATGAGGGGTCCACTGTTAAGACGGACTTTTCTGACTCGTCGAAGTCCACTAAAATAGGTGGGTATTTTGGGTGTAAGTGAAACTACGAGGGCCATTCCACTCCTTGGCTATTGTATTTACCATTTTTTTTAGCCGTAACTACCCGGACAGAGTATGGTGAGCCATCTACAAGTGTGGATATTCCTCTGTCGTGGGTTCGACGTGAAATGAGCGATTCATTGAAAGGTGTGTCAGGTTACTTAATTCTCGTGCTAAACTGGCCAAGTTAAACTATAGAACAATCGCGGGAGCTTGTATCATTGGAGGGCATGAGGTCTGCGCTATCCCTCAGGGCCGGCATGTCCTGCGATCTTGTGATCGGCCGTTTGGCTATGAAGCGATCCATCTTGCCCGTGTTCGCTAAAGGATAGAAGAGTCGCTGAGTTAACTCTTGCAGGCGCAAATGGGTTCGTGAGGTCAAAGCCCGTAGTTGAAATTACCGGCCCACGTAAATATTTCAGCTGCTTTCCATTTTGACAAGCGGCCCCCCCCCCCCGGGGTTTTTTGGGGGTTTTCCCCAAGCGCAGCTGTAGATGTCATGCTGCTCTTCTAAACTGCTAAGAGAGAAGAGCTTGCGTCTTATTATCTAGGAAGGTGTCTCATCATTAATATTATTATATATATTACTATATTATTATATATATCATTATATTCGAGTTTGTTAATGTCAAATGACCTAAAGGTAATCATCCGCAAGAGAATGCAGGGAAATCTACTCCACACCGGGAACATCAGACCATACGAATTTGCGTAAATTTTGACTCGCTTGTACGGCCTCACGCGTACATCTTTCTTTCTCGGACACGGCGAGCATCGGGTAAATTGTATGGGGACATTCCAAACGTTTTTCGGAAGTAGTGAACCTTGCGGACATAACTTTACCAAGAGGGGAATGATGTTTGGTGGTACTCACATTCTTGAGGAAATAACCGTTTGTTGCAAGCCTGGAGACTTCTCGGACATTAGGATACTTATTAACGGCGTACTCAACAGCAATTTTTTCTTGCAATGTGTTATTTACCTGATATTGATTTGCAAGGCACATTCCGCGAAAAAATAAGGCTATGACCTCTCAAATGTGTCGGACGATCCGGAAGGCGATTTTTGAGGCTGCGCTACTTCCAAAATGTGAAAAACGGCAAGAACTCCGCTAGAAGCTGACTAATTAGGCCCATGGACACCCCTTAGGCCCATGCCGACCCTCACCGGCTGCTAGCTACTAGCTAGTAGCCACTATGTTATCTTTCTCTATAACATTTCGGACTGCTTTTTCTGCTGCTTTCTCCGCTAATCAGATACTTAGCACTTTTTTGTGCCTATTTGAGTTCCGTTTCCCGCAACTTGCGGTCGCGAACTGTGCCTTAAACGGAAGGATCTGCGGCGCAAATACGAGCAATCGTGGGGGGGGGGGCGGGGCGTAGAACGCTCAACGCCACTTAAAGGATGGGTGGGATTGCGCGCACCAGATTTCGGCATGCTCTTTTCCACCATCGACGAAGAAATAGCAAGCGCACCACCCTCCAGCGATCCATGCCACTGCCTTTGGAAGAATTTATGAGTTATTAAATGCAATTTTATTGTACATAAATTCAGTTCGATTCGTTTGTATGTGGGCTGAATGTCGATACGTCATGGACCAGTAAGGACGCAGTTAGCAGCTTGCATTTTGACGCTGCCACCTTCACACGTATGGCGAACAGTCGCGCAGGTGTCATGTAGGTTTTTTCACAAATATATCTAGTGTTTTACTTGGGATTCACTTTCATCTGTGAACATCAGTTTTTGCTGGAGTATGGCTGTTAGACAGCCTTCATACTTGCGGTCGCGCGATCGATGCGCATGCTTTTCTGATTCCTTCAGACAAGCCTGGGGCCAGTTGACCTGTCCCGTAGGGTAGAAGCCTTGATTCACTCGAGCGAGAGCCGATCGAATTGGATCGCCGAAGCGTGCACATCGGTGACTGGCCACTTTTCCACTTACCCATTTCCTGCGCCCCTCCTCAATTGATTATTCGAGTGCGTACCTGATTTACGTAGGCTTGAGAGCTGGCCATTACCAAAATTCTATCATTAGTTGTGCTGGCTTACAGATAAACAATCCTGGCCTTGTCAATTGGTATGCCTACATGTCGCCCGATGCACGCCGTTGAGCTTGAAGACGCCATCTCGCATGCATCAGTTCCATGCCCATGGCTCAGTTTTCGTTGGTGTAATTTATTGGGGGCAACCAGATTTCTAAGAGCATCAGAGGTTTGTTTTGTTTCATTTATAAAGGTAAGAGAGAGTTTACATCTGAGAAGATTTTTTGATCTTGGGTTTTCAGCTGCGGATTTCCACCTACATTAGATATAGCATACACAGGCGACATCACTTACTGTCTTTGGGATAACTGCCATGTACGTTCAGCTTTACTTGTTTCATGCTCTGGTATCCAATAAAGGAGGAAAAGCTTACCGCGGTAGCTTCCTTTTTGGGCGTGCAATCTTTCCCAACAATTTCCATTTCAGAATCGTAATGGTAATTGATTCAGGGCAGGACCTGCCGCTGGGAAGAATTTCTGCAAAATACCTCCCCTCCCCTAACAAGCTCGTCTCTTTCTCTTACAACCTCGTCCCTTCCACTTCCTCAGCCCCACCTAATATCTTCCTGAATTCTCTTTGCTTTCGCGCTAACCGTAACTTTCGTCTTCTTCGAAGTTAAAAAAATTACTCGTCGAGGAGAGCGGGGAGGGGGCGGGAGGGAGAATACAGGAGGCACGTAAGCAAAACAAAAAAAGGGTATAGTTTTCAACCTAAACATCTGGAGGAGCAAATACGACCCCCCTCGCTCCTCCAGCGACCAAATATGACCCCCGCGCTTGGAATCCCTAGTGTACGTGCCGTATGCGAGTTGGTCTGCTCATGGTCTTGGATGGGGTGCCGGCTTCAGTGTTTTTTTTATTCGTAGAAGTGTGTTACCCAACGGACCCTGAAGCAATGGAACGCCTGAGGCGGAAACAACGGATTTGAGAGAAAGGGGTTTGACCAATCGATCTGCGGCTGTTTCACAACGGACGAATGGAAGGCTCAGATCGACCTTCACCGGGGGAAGTAAGAGCAACTCATTGGTATGATGCTCGTCTGTGATGATGAAAACACTGACTTGTACATCGGGTGACCCCTATAAGACACTGTACAGCTTAAATATCATTCAGTATGCCACTCTGATTCTGGGTCTATCTTTTACAAAGATGGTTCTCCATTCACATTTTCTTTATTATTCATCAAGCTAACTTGTTTCAGGACAATTTCTCAGATCCTCTGCACTTATTCAATCACGTCATGACTCATATTGACTTTTCCTCAGTAGCTGAACGATCGTGGTTTGTGATGCAAGAATCCATGTCACTTCCCACAACATCGTGTCTCTTGGGAAAACTGTTACGGAGTTTGACAAAGGAGATTGAGTTTGTGCTTATTAATAATGGTTTTCTTCAAAGGTTTACTCACTTGAGCCGCGGAATTTTTTCGTTGAAATGGACATCTTAGTGAACTTCTTATTTTTTCATATTGTAAACTTTCAAGCAGGCGAGGTGGGCAAGTGAGACGGTTCTGCCAGTTCAAATCCAGGGTCGACTCCCGCCCAGACCAACCAAGCCTTCTACCCTTCGGGACGGTAAATTGGTACCAGATTCATGTGGGACGGTAAAAACACTGACTAGTACATCGACTGGACCCGCAAGTCATTGTATAGGCCACATCGCATTCAATAAGCCACTAGATTCTAAATGGAAGTGGAGTGCGTGCCGCATCCCACAAAGGGATTGATCAACGGTAGAGATATCCTTTATCCTTCTGATTTTCAAACATTTTTTAGAAAGCACGTTCGACATCACAGTGGAGAGAAGTATTGTGCGTGTCCTTTTTGCGGTCGCTTCTTCTCAAGACCTGATAAACTCTATGAACATCTTCGCAAACGGGCGCCGATCCCACAGGGCAATCAGAAAAAACCAGCACGTATGTTTTTCTGCAGCTGTTTATTTTCGGAGCTTTCACTGTCAGCATTCGGTTTTGTTATATGCTGGTTAGGAGCTTATCAACACAGCAAAAAAATGTGCTAGGCTAGACTTAGAGGGACATTATGACGGTTGGCGCAGTTCGGCTTAGTGAAGGGGATTGTTCACTGCCAATGCCTGGTGCGTATGCCTGTTACTTCCTGTGAGGGTATGCAATAAAAGGAGCTTTTTAGACTGACAAGAAACTGCAAGTCTCACCAAGATGAGTCGTGTAATATAACAGGAACTACCAAACGAATTAGCCGAGTGCTAAATGCCCTTCCCAAGCAAAACAGGGCTGAAAACCAGTAATTCAGGAGAGCTCAAAGTACTAGTCATTTTTCAGCTCTGTCTTCTATGCCAGCGTCGCTTTGGCGATGAGCGCTCATTGGTGAACCACGTGCGGCGTCACATCAACGGAAGACAGTGCCCTACTTGTGGATTAGCTGTTCAGTTGCCGTCTGACTTGCACGGTACTTATGGCGTTATGCAGAAGATTCTAATCATATGTTATGCTTTCTGAAAAATCCCTATTCAGGCCATATATTTGGTGAAGCACACAGAAAGGATAAAGACGCTGACTTGTCCCGAATGCGACAAAAGCTTCTATTGTGCTGTAAGTTTTTTTATAGTACCTTTTCTTCTACAGAGATAGGGGGAGGGAGTTGAAGGCGGATATAAACCATTACTAAGTGACGGCGCTATCTAAACATGCGTGCAATCCATGTTCAAGCCCATCGGGACACTATACATTCGCGTTTGGTGGAGAGAAAGAGGTTTACATCATTGCGTCCGCGCCGCAGGATTTGCAGCCGAGGGTTTATAACTATTTAACAAGAAAAAGGTGCCTGCGATATGCGTGGTATGTACTCCCCTGTTGGTCCTAAGTCGCTCACCACACACGCTGGCCCACTAAGGTCCGCACCAAGCAACAAGGGTCCACTTTGTCCTAATCTGTACTGATAAAATTCATCCGAACATATGCGATCGCCCGTAAGCGACAATCGCTAGCCTTAAAGGGGAATTTTTAGCCTTTTCTCTGTCACTAATAGCTATTCCATTCTGATGCTTCATAGATCAGTTAGTTGTTTGACGATGTTCAACGATGTGTATCGTTTAGACGGATCTGATACGACACAGTGCTGTGCATGGCCCGCCTAAGGAGGTGTGCAAGGTTTGTGGCGAGCATTTTCGATGGAAGAAGCAGTTGGATAGGCATATGACATCTCATTCAGCGGTTGAGGTCCGGCAGGCCGTCACGTCTTTTCTTTGATTTAGTGAAGCTATAGCTTTCCGGACAAGTTTATGCTTAACCGATGCTTGATATGTCATTTACAGACTGCAATGAAACAGCCATATCTTTGCCATATATGTGATTGTACATATGCTACCGGACATGGACTTACACGCCATCTGTCTCGGAAGCATGAATGTCCAATTCCTGAAGGGTTCAGCAGGTTCATATATGGAGCGTTTTTTTATTATTAGGGTTTCCGGGAAAGTTTTGAGACTTTCAACCACTCATCCAACACTTATCAAAACAGTAAAAGATCGTAAGTTCAGCAAGCTATACATAAATGTGTGCGCATCCATCCTATGTCCCTTACCTTTTGGGCGGGATTACCTTGCGTGGGAGCTAGGACTAGGCGAGTACTGAGAATGAGGAGGCGTTGGCAACATCTAAGCTAAACTTCCATGGAAGTGACCGATGATCTCCTAGTACTACTAATGTTGATGCGCATTCGCATCCAGTTCGGGAGACGCCCTCATTCCCGATTTGAGCAAAAGAGGAGCCAGAGCGGTGAAGATGAAGTAAAAGACGTTGGGAGTCGTGCGCGTTCGTACATTTTTCAGGTAATGTTAAATCATGATCTAGCGATGGAGAATAATACCAACACATCGGTATTGCATTCTACAAACATTTCCTTTATCATAGCACCTTTGACATTCCTGATTCTGTAGGGACATTCGCCTTGCTACACTTCTTCAAACTAAAGTGTGAAATTTTCTCAAAACTTTCCGGACAACCTAATAGTTATATGTGGTACTTGCTTAACAGTCAAAAACCTCGCAAGCATCAGAATCCCGCAAACTAGGAGATAATTCTTCCCTTTTCCCCACTCATTCTGCTCCCACCAAGATTCGTAGTGTTTCGAACGGAATGTTGTTTTTGTTGTGTGTGCGAACAAGTCTAACTAGGGAAGGTCGTCAGGTCGAAGTGGCCATTTGTGATGAGATGTAGATCACTAGACGTGGTTTTGGACGCTGATCTTGAATCTGCCTTCAAAATTTGCAAAGCGATTCTCTGAACGGAGTTATGGAGCCGCGTTTACCACGCAACAGGTCATGGGATCGGATCCCTGCTGAGCTTAACTTTTTTGCTTGTTGCGCAAACGTGGCAAAAAGTGATTTTGCCGTCACTACTACTTCAGTTCTCACCTGAGCTTGTCTGAAGAAAAGTTTGCCTCCATTTATTACTGCGCTTGGACTCCTTGTAGACTACAGTGCACTACAGTGCTTCTACAAGGAGTCCAAGCGCAGTAATAAATGGAAGGCAAACTTTTCTTTAGAAAAGCTCAGGTGAGAACTGAAGTAGTAGTGACGGCAAAATCACTTTTTGCCACGTTTGCGCAACAAGCAAGAAAGTTAAGCTCAGCAGGGATCCGATCCCATGACCTGTTGCGTGGTAAACGCGGCTCCATAACTCGGTTCAGAGAATCGCTTTGCAAATTTTGAAGGCAGATTCAAGATCAGCGTCCAAAACCACGTCTAGTGATCTACATCTCATCACAAATGGCCACTTCGACCTGACGACCTTCCCTAGTAAGATGGAGTTTAACTTTGAGGAGGCCAGCTGTAGTCTTGTTATACGCCCATACAGATGTGACAGTAGCTCGGAGGAATATAGCCTGAAATGTTTTTATCTCAGGCGGGGCTTTAACCCACACTCCGCTTTCTGGGCGAGTGCGCAAGCCGTTAGGGCCAGTTCTTGCTTACTATTGCCCCGGTAAACGTAGCATTTCTGTGGTACTTTCGGACTCGAATGCGGCGTTAAAAAGAGCCCAGTTTTTATAAACAAGTGATTGTTACAGTTTCTGTCTTCAAATAGTTCTCGTTTAGGTTCTCCTACAAGAAATGTGCAGACGGGTATTATCGATTGCAGACTCGTAAACTTGTTCGGACTGTATTATATGAGAAATAACAATTGCACTTATTATCGGTATTTTCTTTGCTTGTTGTACACATGTACTAGTAGCGAAGAAGATCTTGAAGAAATATTTGTATAGAATGCTAAGTGTAATGGTCCTTATTCGATTTTAGCTTCAATCCAGCACTTACGGTTCAGTACTGCCATATTATGCATCTTAGATACTTGTGTATTTTGGAATTCCTTTGTTCATATCCTTCAAAAATGCTCTCAAATAAATTATGTCTTCTTTTTGTGGTTTCAACAAACACCTCTGTATGCTGAATCAGCCGTAATATTCTAATATTGTAATATTAAAATTGTAATTTTTATATGGTATTTGAACAAGGTATTTACGATTGCTGATGTGGACGTCGCGAATAGCGTCGTTAGCGGCTCGCTTACCGAGATCACTGAGTCGACGCTACCTGCTTTCGGAAGCGTTTTCTTTGGAAAAAGTGAGTATTCTCCCATTTTAATCACTTTATATGGTTTCTTCGATCTTACAAGCATATTGTTCTAGGAGTGGGCGTCTCGACATGCTGAACTGACCAGGTTAGGATTAGGAGGTGACTACGAAACGATTAGTGCCGTACAGAAGAAATTCATCGGAGGCAGTTTAGCCAGGTGACTACTGATCCGCTACATTAAGAAGGGATTTCGTCGTAGGTTCGCTCGACAACGGCGATTGTTCAATTAATATTGGTCGTTAATCACGAAAAATCACCAATGCGCGTGATCTCAAGGAACTCTAACCTTTACTTATCACGTTAATAGTAGCGTTTTCAGCGCCATCGATGTGGACGCAGCTGTGTGTATTGCGGACCATCAAGATCAGGTACGATCTCTATCTCTTAAAATATACTGTTTAGGAAGCACAACAAATATGGACCATGTCGGCTTTTATTCTGAAATTTCACGCGCCTCAGCTATTAGTTGCCCTTTAGTTCCACTTATGCCCCCCCCCCCCGCCCTACCAGCATTGTTTTTCTGCTTTCTCTGCGTTTCTTTTTTAATGGTGCACTTTCACAAGAAACGTCTTCTTACTTTATTCGCCAAAAGTGGGAAGGGGCTCTCAATAACTTTTAATGAGGATACTTTTCTCATCAGCATCCTTGTATAGATACTGCTGCTCACCTCTTTACACGGTGATGATAGTGTGCCACAGAGACTTCTCGTTTCCTATGAATAAACGCTCTTTTGAGCCCAACACAGCCCAGTGCAAAGCCTTTCTCATGAAGTACTGTGGGTGTGAGCGTAGAGCGGCCAGAGCATATGGTCGATCTGCATCCCATTGTGATGGTTCACATGCGGCAACTTCGAGAGCTGGCCAGAAGTTTCCTCTTAGGTCATTATTGCTCAGCACCTGACGCATGCACATGGGCGCGGCGAGAATACAGCATCTCATCACCCTGATTACTGACCCTGACGCTTTTGTGCCGTTTTGAAACGACTTGTAGTGGTTCTACAAATCACTCCATTTCAGCGAATGCTTTTGTACCTGAGCAGGTTTTTCTTACAAAGGTTTCTCTATGTTTCTCCATGTTTTCTCCTTCTGTATAAATTTCCATAACATACGGTATTGAAAGGGCTGAAGGGCACTGGTGGGTAAAATAGGTGGAAACGTAGTAGAGTGCTAGATAAATCTGAGACAAGTCCCTCATTCCCATTACCAGTAGATTCCGTGAGCTCGCAATGATTGTCGCGCGTGGTCCCCAAAAAGTCTGCTTGACCCTGACCAAGAATCATAAGTTTATTGTTTGTAGGTGGACGATGTGGTCGAGCTGCTGTACAAGCTGCGACACAGCGAAAACGCAGCTGATCTGCCAGTCTCCGCTGAGTATGCACTTCATCCGACTTTTGCTTCGACACAACCCATCGTTTCTCTTCAAGTTGGCTGATGACCCCGTGAGTTCTCTCATTTTCCTCCAATCACGATTGAATTTTAGTTTTATGATGAGCTTTTTAGATTAACTACGGCATTTTCATGAACGAGCACGCTGCTTGTTTAGCTATTGATCACTTTATCAAGGAAAATGATTTTGGAGGTGCGGTTGTCATCTTCTTCTGACTTTTTGCGGCACAGTTCGGCCTGGGGGGGGGCACCATATGGTACTCTGCAAAGCTTGTACGGGTCAACTTGTGATGCACTGTGAATTCTTATAAGCAATGTGGCTCACTCGCACCACTTCATAACTTCACAAGAGTTACAGGTACAAGAG